AATGCTTTGACTGCTGTTCATTTAAGTTCACATAAAATATCTAGACAGGTTTGGAGGCTGTAATGACAATGGGCATCTTTCATCCTCTTTTGTCATCAAAGACACATGCTTACCTGTGCCCTGTATGTCATTCCTAATTGCTGCAGAGTGCTCCCTGATGCCACCGGCAGGAACGGAGCGCCCACCTTAATGGCTGGGTATACTGAAAGGTATACTTTAAAATGAAAGCAGAATGCAGTGCCTGGTCACATTGTAGTCCAATACATCTGAATTTTAAAGCAGAACTGGGGGATCTGGAGTAAACCAATGCTTGGCTTATAGCACAGATCCTGAATGTGCTTCTACATCCATTGTCAGTGTAAATGAGCCTTTAGTGTGATGAATTATACAAAGTGTTAAAGGGCTACAGAGATAGTACTTAGCTGGGACCTTCAACTGAGGGGTGAGCTTCACCATTGGAAAACACACAAGACCACCCATTTTTTTTAGTCAGAAAGCTACAATGTATTTGCCTTGACTAAATTTATATTTGCCTAGATGGTCACACAAATGCAGTTCCCAGCACACACAAAAAAAATGTCTGGCATATTTGCCGCAATCACTTTAGCCTAATCATCTCCCCTCCCAGGGGCTCATATATGGCGGAAAGAGGATATTGCTGTCCACTTGCTGGGATCTGCATGCTGTGGCCGCCATTTTATGGCCTATTCATAAAATGTACACCGTGGTATATAACCTGTGTTGCAGCTCTCTCTCTACTTAATGCAGCAAAGAGAGCTCCACGATTGAAGGAGAACTGGTCATGTCACTCCTTCAGACTGCCATTCAGGTATACTGCACTCCGCCAACTTTGGACTCCTAAAGCCAGAGAAGCGCAATGCACATATGTGCTGTTTTTGCAGAATAGACATACTCCTGGTTTTTAAATAGACTTGTGGATCATGAGAATAGCTGTTGCAAAACTGTGCTCTTGCGTTGTCACCCTGTCATATATCCCCTTGGCTGAGGCTACAATCAGCAGTGCCAACACACATTGTGCAGGCATGGTCCACTGTTATCACTATTAGCAAGTCAGTAGATGCTGGAGTGCATGCATGTAGACAGGAAGTGGCTGAAAGAAGATGGAGGTGAATAGCAGCACTGAGATAGAAAAAAAGTAAAAACAGTAAAAGTATGGTAGTTGTTTATCACACACAGTGCCTCAGCCAACAAACTGTCTACCAGTCAGGATGTTTTATGCACTTTAACAGTCAAACTGTACTAAATATGAGCAGGTTACATCATCTATTATTCAAAAGAATGAGCCATATTCATTGGCTCCTAAAGTATAAAAATGAAATAAAGAATAAAATGCTTGCTCCCTTGTTTTTCCTGGCATGAACAAATAATCAAATGATGACATTTACAATGCAGATTCTTGATTAGCTCTGGGAGATTACATTTTAATATGAATCAAGTAATAAATCCTATTTCACGATAACTTTACAAGAAAGATAAAACCCCCTCAACACTATAACGTCACATTTCTGAAAGGTGCATGACAAAAAACAAAACATTTTTAACATTTCCCATGGTAGTAGCTATGTGTAACCGTTTAGTATTATAAAAAGCTTTCACTTTTTCACATATTAGGTCTCCGATTTACTTTTGCAACAAAGACACAAACATTTTCCTGATTAAATTACTAGAATAAAACATAAGGATATTGGAAAGGAAATAATTAATAAGGATATTGGTGCATTTCCGTAATATTTCTGCACGTGACCAGCGAAAAACCTGTTCCATTAACACGTTGCTCAACCCAAATTTTATATTTTAGCTATTTTAGTTATGGCTCCTTGTAGTCCATTTTTTTCTCTGATGTGTGCAATACTGAAATGCATGCATAATCCAGCAGAGAATAGTTAGATTGTTGGCAGTAATTATGAAGCTTTGGCTGTATTATAATGGTGCATCTCTATGAAGCTGTCTCTTTAGATCTCTGCCCCATTTTCATCAAAATCATACCCATGTCAGTTTGGCTAAGATAAAATGTATGTGTCTGGAATACAAATACACTATGAAGCCAAAGGTTTGTGGACATGTGACTTGACCATCATGTGTACATGAGCTTGATGGATATCCTATTCCACAACCATGGCCATTAAAATGGAGTTATCTACCCTCCCAATATGCGGCTATACCAGCTTCCATTCTTCTAGAAAGGCTTTTCACAAGATTATTTTTTGGGGAATTTGAAAAAAAAGGGATAAATGGCAGCAGCTCTGATCAGTTTAAAACTAGCAAAAAGGAGAAAGGTATACGTGGGCTGGGCAATACACAAATCAATACAAATGGGGTCCCAAGCACACTTTTACACATGGCAGTGTGGCTTCAACATGTATTCGCAAATGTATGCAACTCGTAGTAAAAACTAATACTTTTTTTTTATGGCAAACTTGAAAGTGTGCTAAGGTCCTGCTCTTTTTGGGAATTTGTGCCCATTCAGCCTTAAAGGGAAACTCCACTTTTATTTAAAAAGCCATCTAGCATATAAAATTGCTACACAAGCTATTTTGTAGTTTATTGTTATTAAAAATTGCCTTTCCATTTCAGTTGCTGTAATTTATTTAAACTGTTCAAAATGTTCTATGTGATATGGCAACCTGGAGGAATGCTGTACATCGCTCATGTATAGCATTCCCCCAGCAGTGTCATTTCCTGCTTGTGTGATTGGCTACCAGACTTTCCCAGAAGTCTGCACTTAGAAGCAAATACAATTTTAGTAATCCTCTGCAACAGAAATGTCCTTTTTGGTGAGATACTGGTGAGATAACTACTTGATGCAGACACTGCAGATTTCCCCATTAGCCAGGGGGGGGGGCGGCCCCTTCTTCGGGACGCAGAAGCGATCTGGCGACAGGTAAGTCGCCAGGATCGCTTCTGTTGTAAAGCCGACAGTCGGCTCTACAAGTTTAAACAGACTCCCAGCGGCAAAAGTCACCGGGAGTCTGTTTAAACAGCCCCGATGCTGGCGACGTACACTGTACGTCGTCAGTCACGAAGGGGTTAATACAAAGCCTGCCGTGATTGGCTCAGCGCCATAGTAGCTGAAGGACGGAAGATGGAGGACGCTGCTGGGATCCTGGACAAGGTAAGAGACTGTAATCCCGAGTGTGGCTCGGGGTTAACACTTATGGTACTGAAAATTAACCCCGAGCCACACTCGGGAATACCGCCAAGGAGGTTAGTAAGTGCATTTAAACATAGTTTTGGGCTATACTCGTCTTATACGACGAGTATAGCCCAAAACCTATATTTTTACACAAAAAGTGGGGGGTCGTCTTATACGCCCAGCCGTCTTATACGCCGGCAAATACGGTACTCATTTTCGAAAATAAGACCTGGCTTACAACTGGCCTTCCATTCCAGTTAATCTCAAAACTGCTTAATAGGGTTGAGGTCAGGGTTTTGTGCAGGCCACTCACCTCACCCGAGCACACCCGAGTACGGTTCAAGTTTGAACTTTAGAACTGCCGCAGCACCCGTCTTTTATAAGGAACATCGGTTTTGAGTGCGATGGGTTCATGGACTGTATCCAGATGCGCCCCCCTTGTGAATGAGTAAGGGGTACCTTTACCCCTACGCATTTACTAAAGGGTTAAAAAAAAATTGTAAATAAAAACACCGGACTTTTAAAAAAAAATCTTTATTTGGAAAAAAAAAAAAAAAAAAAGACATTTTTTCACAAGTCTTCTATTTAAAAAAATAAAAAAAATGGATCCACCAACATAATCATTGGGTCATTCACGACGTCCAGCGTTGTCGACGACACAATGAAATAAAATTAAAAAAATTAATAAATAGAAATATTTTTTTTAAACGACGCCCGCCGAACTGTCAAACTCCCACTACAGAATGGATTCTGACAGATGGCGGCAAAATATAAATAATTGGGCGGAGCTAGCAGTGACAGCTAGCTAGCTCACCCAACAGTTTACTTTTGTCTGGCCCTTGACAGGACTTCAATCATGGCTCTCACAGTGCATTGTGCTGTGATAGGGTAAAGACTTGCACCTGACCTGCGATCAGGTGCATTGTTTTACCCAATTAGGTGTTTCAAAAGGCACTGTGCAGCCGCGCAGTGCCACGTGGGGCGCTCGGCGGACGAACAGCCCGCCGAAAGCCCTGATAGTTTGTGGGTTCGCCAAACAGACAAACTGCCAATGTTCAAGTCAAAATGTTGGTCGACTCGAACATCGGGACCATCCCTACTCACCTCCACACCAAACTTGTCAAGCCAATTCTTTATGGAGCTGGCTTTGTGCCGAGGGGTATAGTCATGATGGAACAGAAACAGCTGCCATGAGGTTGGAAGCACACAATTGTCTACAATGACTTTGTACTATATGTTGTAACATTACCACTATCCTTCCTGATGCACAGGTGTGTTCACAAATGTTTGGCCATACAGTGTATTTCAGCAGTATTTAAATACAGACATCAGAACAGGCAATGGTTAAAAAAATTATCTTTCTGCTGCTTTACTGATGATTACTGACAACATTTTAACTTCTTCTTCTGGATTATGCATTTATTTCTGTAGTGCAAGGGTATCCAAACTTCTGCCCTCCAGTTGTGCTGAAATTACAAATCCTATCATGCATCTGCCTCTGGAAGTCATGACTGTGGCTATCAGAGTCTTGCAATGCCTAATGGGATGTGCAGCTCCGCCACAGTTGGAGAGCAGCTCCAACTGTGGCGTTTGGAGCTGAAGTTTGGCTACCCCTGCTGTAGTTCAAACATGAGGATACAATTGGACTGCAGTACACCAGGGGATGCAGAGTTTTATTAAAAAAACAAAAAACTTTCCTGTGACAGGTTATATTCAGCAAAAACTAAATGTATGTTCAATACTTCGCCTGGTTTATGCCACCTCTGAGCAATCCTGTAAATATACCATCACAAACAGATATTGCTTAGGTAAAATTTAGTGCATTCGATACATATTCTGTGGGTACCTTAAATAGTAATTCACTAGTGTTCTTGGCACAGTAATAGAGCTTCACACTCCCTATTCGGAAACCTCTGCCTGTTGTCTCTAGGGCTTTGTGAAGGTCAGCAACATGAAGGAGTATAGAAAACAAAGGATTGATTCCTACTCCACCAGCGATTAAGACCAGATCCACCGGAGAGTCTGTTGCCTGTGGATCAAAGAAGAACTCTCCTCCTACTCGTAATGCTACTTCTGAGCCGAGGGAACACTGTGAGAGGGAAATAACAGACAAATAAACAGTATAAGCATGAGGCACATTACAGAGAAAACTTGTACATGTAAGACACACAGAAACACCCCCCGTATATAAATATCTGTATGTATGTATGCATGCATGCATACATACAGTATATATATATATATATATATATATATGTGTGTGTGTGTGTGTGTGTGTGTGTGTGTTTCTT